TCCAGAACCCCGCCTCCTTAGCTCCCCTGCCTTTCCCTGATGGGACCAGGAACCTCTCAGTCTCTGAGCAGAACCCCACTCCATCTGCTCCCCTTCCTGGACATCCTGCACCGGGACCTGTCAGTCTGACTCCAGAACCCAAACTCCTTAGGCTCCCCTGCCTGCCCCTAACAGCACCGGGTCATGTCAGTCTGCGACCAGAGGCTCACCTGTCTGCCCCTGACTCGACCTGGAACCTGTCAGTCTGCGGCAGGAATCCCACGTCCTTAGCTCCCCTGCCTGCCCCGAACAGAACTGGGAACCTGTCAGTCTGTGGCCAGGTACCCCCACCTCCTTAGGCTCCCCTGCCTGCCCCTGACTGGACCAGGAACCTGTCAGTCTGCAGCCAAGCCCCACCCAGCTTGGCTCCACTGAGTGCTCTTGACAGGACCGGGAACCTGTCAGTCTGTGGCCAGAACCCCACGTCCTTAGCTGCCCGCCCGCCTTTGATAGACCTGGAACCTGTAGTCTGCAGAAAGAACCCCACCACCCTGCCTCCCTGTCCTACTCCACACGGCACATGGAACCTGAAAGTCTGCCGCCAGAACCCCACATCCTTAGCTCCTTTGGCTGCCCCTGATGGGACCAGGAGCCTGTCAGTCTGCATGCAGACTTCATGTCCTTAGCTCCCCTTATTGCCCCTGACTGGACCAGGAACCTGTCAGTGTGCAGCCAAACCCCACATCCTTAGCTCCACTGCCTACCCCTGTTGGAAATGGAACCCGTGAGTCTGTGGCCAGAACCCCACCCACTTTGGCTCCCCTGCCTGCCCTTGACGGGACTGGGAACCTGTCAGTTGCGGCCAGAACCCCATGTCCCTAGCTGCCCTTCCTGCCCCTGACTGGACCGGGAACCTGTCAGTGTGCAGCCAGAACCCCACATCCTTAGCTCCACTGCCTGCCTCTGTTGGACCCAGTACCTGTAAGTCTGCGGCTAGAAGCCCAGCTCCTGGGCTCATTTCCCGCCCCAGATGGACCCGGAATGTGTCAGTCTGCCACTAGAACCCTAACTTCTTTGCTCCCCTGACTTGCCCCTAACTGGAGCAGGAACCTGTCAGTCTGCAGCCAGAACCCCACCCTCTAGTCTCTGCTGAGTGCTCCTGACAGGACCGGGCACCAGTCAGTCTGCGGCCAAAACTCCACCCCCTTAGCTCCCTTGCCTGACCATACCGGACCAGGAATCTGTCAGTCTGTGGCCAGAACCACACGTAGCTAACTCCCTTCCTGGCGTCACTGGACCGAAAACGGTCACTCTGAGGCCAGACCACCCTCCTTGGCTCCCCTGACTGCCACTGATGGGACCGGGAACCCGTCGTCTGCAGCCAGAACCCCAACCTTGAGGCTCCATTAGTCCCCCTGATGGGACTGGGATCCTTTCGGTCTGCGGACAGAACTCCACCCCTTAGCTCCCAGGGCCTGCCCCTGACGTAAGAACCAGGAACCTTCAGTCCTGTGGCCAGAACCCCACCTCCTTGCTCCTCTGACTGTCCCTGACTGGACCAGGAACCTGGCAGTCTGTGGCCAGAACTCCACCCCTTAGCTCCCCTGCCTGCCCCCTGACTGGACCTGAATCTGTCAGTCAGCTCGGAAGGAACCCCATGTCCTTAGCTCCCTGCCTACTCCTGATGGGACCAGAGACCTGTCGTCATTCTGTGGCCAGAACCCCACCTCCGTAGGCTACGCTGCCCGCCCCTGACTGGACCAGGAACTTGTGAGTCTGCAGCCAGAACCCCACCCCATCAGCACCCCTACCTACCCTTGATGGACCCGCAACTGTCACCTGTGGCCAGAACCCCACCTCCTTAGGCTCCCCTGCCTACCTGTGACGGGACTCGGAACCTGTCAGTCTCGACCAGAGCCTAACCTGCGTGGCTCCCCTGACTTTCCCTGAGGGGGCCAGGAACCTGTCACTCTGTAGCCAGAACCCCACCTCATTGGGCTGCCCTGACAGCAACGGGAACCTGTCAGCCTGTGGCCAGATCCCCATGTCCTCAGCTCCCCTGCCTGCCCCTGATAGACCTGAACCTGTCAGTCTGTGGCCAGAACCAACCTCCTTGGCTCCCCTGACTGCCCGCGATGGGACCAGGAACCTGTCATGCTGCTGCCAGAACCTTAGCCAGAACGCCTTAGCTTCCCTGCCTGGCCATATGGACCGGAACCCTGTCCATGTGCGGCCAGAACCCCACGTGCTTAGCTCCCCGCTTGTCCCTGACTAGACAGGGAACTTGTATGTCCTGTGGCAGGAACACCATCCTCTTACACTACCCTGCCTGCCCCTGACTGGAACCAGAGCCTGTCATTCTGCGGCCAGAACCCCACCTCCTTGGCTCCCCTGACTGCCTCTTTCTGGCCTGAGAACCTGACAGTCGAGGACTACAACCCCACCTCTTGGATCCCCTCCGGCCCTTGATGGAACTGGGAACCTGTCAGCCTGGGGCCAGGAACCCCACCTCCTTGTCTCCCCTGCCTGCCGCTGATGGGGACCTGGTAGCTTGCCAGTCTAGGGCCAGAAACGCCTGTCTTTGGGCTCCCCTGCTGCCCCTGACAGGACCGGGAACCTGTCAGTCCTGCGGCAGGAACCCCAAGTCCTTAGCTCTCCTGCCTGCCCCTGACTGACCCAGAAACCTGTCACTCTGCGACAGTTCCTGATCCAGTCAGGGGCACTCAGTGATCCTAAGGGAGTGGTTTCCTCCGCCATATCTGATGTGAAAGTCCAGCTGGTTGCAGAAACTAGGGAAGAACAGACAGTGCACACATCTGGTCATATGGCAAGTGTGTGACATTCAAGATGGTTTACAAAGTGGCCCACAACAGGTGATCTCTCCCTACCTCTTCATGTAGCGTGCCTTCAGACACTAACCCCTGGCTCACAACTTGAAGTCTATAAAGGACGGAGACCCTCAGCTATCACTGAGTGGCTCAGAGGACACTGCATGGCTTGTGTTCAATCACTTGTGTCCCTGTTCAAAGCATAGTTTATGAAAATAATCATACAAGCCGCGCCGCGCTCACCAGGCTAATCCTCCACCTGCGGCGCCAGCACACCGGGTTTATAGGTCCCGGTCAGGGCACCGGATTCTGTCCCGGTTGCCCCTCTTCCAGGCCAGCTCTCTGCTGTGACCAGGGAGTGCAGTGGAGGATGGCCCAAGTGCTTGGGCCCTGCACCCCATGGGAGACCAGGAGAAGTACCTGGCCCTGCCATTGCATCAGCGCGGTGCGCCGGCCGCGGCGGCCATTGGAGGGTGAACCAACGGCAAAGGAAGACCTTTCTCTCTGTCTCTCTCTCACTGTCCAGTCCTGCCTGTCAAAAAAAAAAAAAGAGCCTATCAGCAAAAACCAAGACTCGTTCAAGGTGGTGAAGACCGCGCGTACGTTTCGGGAGTCTTATTTCAAGTTTAATTCTTCTGCCAACACACTCATGGTAATCCAGGCTAGTTGCTCTCGTTTCTGAATCGACGTGTCACCCACTGCGCCTCCCTCGTCTGGGCACTTCATCACTCACTCACTGAAGTTGCTGTTCAGAGTGTCCGCTGTGTCCTGTTCTCTCCTGCTCTAAAGTCACTGAGGAGACAGTACTGACGACGAAGCTGCAAACCCTTTCAAGAAGCAAACGTGTCTATACACGACCATGTTTTCAAGGCATTTCCGATGGATCTGACTGCCTGTCAAAAAAAAAAATTAAAAAAAAAATAACTGAGATATTGGGGGTCTTGGTATTAGAAGATGAGCAAACTTTGTAGTTATGAATCTGCCTTGTCCAACGTGCTCTACACGCCATGTTGATGACCCTCCTCTCCCTGAGAGAAGAGCCAGCCTGAGCCGTGGAGTGAGTGGAGCAGAAAACCGGATTAAAGGATTACAGAACGCAGAAACCGGTCAAGTCGGTTTTTCCCATCGAGAGACAGAAACTAGAGTGACCTCCCTGGAGCTCTCAAGGTCATGTCTGGGTGCCTGGGCACGAAAAAAGCTAAAAAAAAAAATCCAGGTTCTGGAACATTCTAGGACGTTCTAGAATGTTCCGGGATCCCTAGAATTTTTCCGAGGTGTTCTAGAATGTACCAGAACATCACCAAGTGAGTCTGGGGGGATTCTGGGATACGGGTCTGAGTAGAAGTTTCCCGGCTGGGTGTGACGGGTGTCCTGGTGCCGGCCTGGCCCTGCGGACATTGACGTGACATCCCGCGCCCACCGGGGCTGCGGAAACTTCCAGCACTTCGGCAGAGGGTCTCAGACCCCCCAGGACGCTCGCTGGGTTCTCTGGAACATACTGGAACATTCTACAACATTCCAAGACCCCAAAGACACTCTCCAAGCGGTCCAGGGCTTCCTACGAACATTCTAGAAAATTCTACGTCATCCGCCAGTATTCCGGAACACTCCAAGACCAGGCGCTCTAGAATACTCTAAGGCCCCGAGGATGTGCGCCGGGCTCTCTGGACGTGTTCGGGAGACATTCTGGAACATTCCACAGAATTCCTCGGGATTCCAAGGACATTCCCTGGGCATTCTAGAACATTCTGGAATCCTGGAAACACCCACCAGGGGTTCTGGAAAATTCCAAGGCCCAAGAACGCACGACAGACTCTCCCAGAATTCCCTGGGAGCACTGACCGTTCCAGTGTCCACCAGGATGTTTGCACAACCTTCGGCCCGCCAACTCCTCCCCCAGCCCTGGCAATAAATAACGCCGGGGTCCCGCCGCTCAGACTGACGACGAAGACGATGGTGATGAAGATGACGGTGACGAGGCTCTCCTCCTCGCCCTCACGGTGGCGTGGCCTGTGCGGACATCGACCCCCGCCCAGGTATCAGTAATTTGCATCATTAGTTCCCAGTATTAATTCTCGTCATGAATTCATATCATTCTTCACATTCATTACTTCGCAATCACTAATTCGCATCACTACTTTGCATGTTTCTTCAGCCGTATCATTAATGCGCGTCATTTCTTCACCTCCCCAGCTCTCCGGGCCCTGGCGCACCTCCGCCATGGCCTCCGACAACCTGGAAATGATCCTGGAGGATGGGCCACTCCGGATGCTGTTCCGCGAGATGGAGTGCAACGAGGACTGCAACGCCCTGAACGTCTTCTTCTATGTCAAGTGAGGGGCGGGGCCAGGGGAGACAAGCCGAGGCCACAGACAGAGAGCCAGGGGGGAGCAATCGAGCCCAGAGAGCGGGGAAGACAGGCGCCGCCAAGCCCAATCGATCCCAGAGAGAGAGAGAGAGCAGGCCAGGGCGACCAGCCGAGCCCAGAGAGAGAGATAGCAGACAGGAGTAGTTGAGCCCAGAGTCAGAGAGCATGTGGGCTAGAGGGGAGTAATGGAGCTGAGAGTGAGCAGACAGGAGTAGTTGAGCCCAGAGACAAAGAGCAAGCTAGGGGGACCAGCCGAGCCCAGGGAGAGTGAGCAGACAGGAGTAGTTGAGCCCAGAGTCAGAGAGCATGTGGGCTAGAGGGGAGTAATGGAGCTGAGAGTGAGCAGACAGGACCAGCCGATCCCAGAGTCAAAGAGCAGGCCATGGTGGACCAGCCGAGCCCAGAGAAAGAGTAGACAGGAGCAGTTGAGCCCAGAGTCAGAGAACAGGTGGGCTAGAGGGGAGTAATGGAGCTGAGAGAGAGCAGACAGGACCAGCCGATCCCAGAGTCAAAGAGCAGGCCATGGTGGACCAGGCGAGCCCAGAGGGAGAGCAGACAGGAGCAGTTGAGCCCACAGCGAGTGGCCATGTTCCCGGTCTCTCCTTCAGGAAGAACGAGGTATGCACCCCGCACACGGTTGTGGCCCAGAAGAACGCAGACGGCATCTACACCACTGACTGTGAGTACAGAGCATTTCGGAAAGTTCCAGACAATTCCAGACGACCCCAGGGAATGTCCGGTGTGTTCCAGAATGTTCGAGAATGTTCCCAGAAATGTTCCAGGATGCTGCAAATGTCCCAGGATGCTCCAGTTCCTCAATGTTCTAGAATGTTCCAGAATGCGCTAGAATGTCCCAGCATGCCCCGGCACATCCAGAACACCCACCTCTCTCCCTACAGTCGAGGGCCAGACCTCCTTCCAGTTCCACGTATTGGATCCCGCTAGGCTCTTCGTCTTCATCAATAACATGGGGTCCAGCGGCACCACCAGCCGCCTCAGCTTCCTTGTGGGTGAGCCCCCCTCACACACACATGTACACTGCCGGTGCCCGCTAGGGATACGCACCACGACCCGAGAGTCTGAGCCCGACTGTATACAGGGAAAGGGGGGATACAGTCGGTGCCCACTGGATAAAGCGAGTGTATACAGTCAGTGCCCACTAGACATGGTGGGCATATACAGTCGGTGCCCACTAACGCTAGCATATACAGTTGGCGCTCGCTAGATGGGGTGAGTGTATACAGCCACTAAAGTGAGTGTATGCAGTAGGCTCACACTAAAGCAAGCGTACTCAGTCGGCACCCACTCTTGCCACAGTCAAATTGAAGTCATAAATGACGACCGGCTGGAGGACTACGCGAGGCTCACGGAGCAGAATGGGATCCGCGAAGTACATCCGGCGTGTGGGCGACACAGGTGAGGCTGCGGCAGCTTCCGGGCTGACTTGGCGCTGACTCGGCGCTGACTCGGCTTTCTCTCTCCAACAGACACCTGTCCACCCTGAGGACGCCTCCCTTGGAGAAGGTGCCAGAACGTTCTAGACCATTCCAGAACCGCCCCTCCTGCACAATGATTCCTCCCTGATCGCCTCACCATCTCCCCCACCTGCGAACGCGCTAGTATGCTCCGGAACATTCTAGAGCATTCTGGATTGATCCAAGATGGTCTGGATTGTTCCAGAATTTCTAGAAAGCTTCGGAACATTCTAGAATCGGCCGTCCCCAGCTTTCTCTTCCTGTTCATGGAATAAACTCATCCCAGGCACAGTCCCAGTCGTTTATTTTAAACGATTTTTATTGTTCCGTCAAAAGACAGAGCGAGCTGGTGGAGGAACCCAGGGGCTACCTCCGGGTCTCCCTGCACTGTCAGTCACCGTTCACTGACAAGGGGGTGGGCTCTGTCATCTGGTGGCTGTCAATCAGCCCTGAGTGACACTGGGGGGGTTCTCCCCGACTCCACTGGCAGCCAGTCACACTCCACCAGGATCCCAGGGCCACATCCGGGTCCCCATGGCCACATCCGGGTCTCCAGGGCAATATCCGGCTCCCCAGGGCTCCACTCATGTCCGCAGTGACACATCCAGGTCCCCAGGGGCACATCCTGGTCCCCAGGGCCACATCCGGGTCTAAGTGCTCCATCCGGGTCTCTGGGCTCCATCTGGGTCCCTAAGGGCTCCATCCGGGTCTCTGGGCTCCATCCGGGACTCCTGGCTCCATCCGAGTCTCTGGGCTCCATACAGGTCTCTGGGCTCCATCGGGGTCTCTGGTCTCCATCTGTATCTCTGGGCTCCATCTGGGTCCCTAAGGAAACATCCTGGTCCCTAAGGCTCCATCCGGGTCTCTGTGCTCCTTCAGGGTCACTAAGGCTACATCCGGGTCCTTAAGGTTTCTTCCGAGTCCTTAAGGCTCCATCCAGGTCTCTGGGCTCCATCCAGGTCTCTGGACCACATCCGGGTCTCTGGGCTCCATCCGGGTTTCGGGGCTCCAACAGTGTCCCTAAGGCTGCATCCAGTCTCTGGGCTCCATCCGAGTCTCTGGGCTCCACCCCGATCTTCAGGGCCACATCCAGGTCCCAGGGCCATATCCGGGTCTCCAGGGCCACATCCGGTTCCCCAGGGCTCCATCCGGGTCTCCAGGGCCACACCAGGGTCTCCAGGGCCACACCAGGGTCTCCAGGGCCACATCCGGATCTCCAGGGCTCCCTCCAGGGCCATATCTGGGTCCCAGGGCTCCACCCAGGGTCTCTGGGCTCTCTCCAGGTCTCTGAGCTACATCCGGGTCCCTAAGGCTCCATCCTGGTCTCTGGGCTCCATCCTGGTCTCGGGGCTCTGCCCAAGTCTCTGGGCTCCATTCGGGTCCCTAAGGCTCCATCCGCATCCCTAAGGCTCCATGCGGGTCTTTGGGCTCCATCCAGGTCCCTAAGGATCCAACCGGGACTCCTGGCTCCATCTGAGTCTCTGGGCTCCATCCTGGTCTCGGGGCTCTGCCGAGTCTCTGGGCTCCATCTGGGTCCCTAAGGCTCCATCCGCATCTCTAAGGCTCCATGCGGGTCTCTGGGCTCCATCCAGGTCCTTAAGGCTCCATCTGCTCTCTGGGCTCCATTAGAGTCTCTGGGCTCCATCCGGGTTTTGGGCTCCATCCAGGTCTAAGGATCGATCCGGGACTCCTGGCTCCATCCGAGTCTCTGGGCTCCATACAGGTCTCTGGGCTCCATCCAGGTCTCTGGGCTCCATCCATATCTCTGGGCTCCATCTGGGTCCCTAAGGATCCATCGGGACTCCTGGCTCCATCCGAGTCTCTGGGCTCCATCCAATTCCCTAAGACTCCATCCAAGTCCCTAAGGATCCATCCGGGTCTCGGGCTCCATCCAGGTCTCTGGGCTCCATCCAAGTCTCTGGGCTCCATCCGGGTTCCTAAGGCTCCATCCGGGTCCCTAAGGCTCCATCCAGTTCCCTAAGGCTCTTCCGAGACTCTGGGCTCCATCTGGGCATAAGGCTCCATCCGGGTCCATAAGGCTCCATCCGGG